CCACTTACTAGTCTTGAAACAGATAACCCTGGGTGGAAGACATCAAACGTAAAATATGGAAGGCTTAATTGATTTTTTTTAAATCCTGTTTATAACAGCAGAACCAATGCAATGATTCATAACAGCTCAGTAAAACCCCTCCGGCAAGAAGTTGACCTTGTTTGCAGACTTCCTTTTCTTTTTTCTAAAGGGTTTATGAACATGCTTTCTTCTTGAGGAAAACAGCGCCATATGCTAAGCTGTGCTATATGGTGCAGGGCTGATATGTGATGTAGGCTTTTGTGGCAGAAGTGACGCTTGCATATGGATGCACAGCTGGCCGAGATAAACCCAACACCACCGCCTGGATAAGCGGAAAATAGGGAAAATACATTAGACATTAAAAGACTCTGTAATTGGCTTCTGGGATGGAGAATGAAATCTCTCTGTGGCTTTGAAAGGGAAAAAAATGATATTGAACTTGTAATGAGTCACTTCCACCTCGACTATCCAGCTCATTCTTCCTCAACTTCCTCGCCTAGTCCACTCGAACAGAAGAAGAGCCAGAGAGATTTCTAACGGTTGATTATATTAGCTGGAATTATAATTTGTATTCCATCCTCTGTGGTCAGTTTGAATGCTGTAAATTGACAAATGTTGTGATATTGTGTTCTAAAATAATGTAAAGATAAAAAAGAAGTACAGGGATCAAATGTAGGTCGGCAAATAAAAGCAGGAAAAAGCACAGAATATTTTGACTGTGTCCTTCAAGCCTGAGAGACTTACAGTCTGATCACAGATAACGTTTTTTATATGCTGCCTTTCTACTCTGACAATGTAATGTCAGTCATTACTACGAACAGGTTCCATCAATGTCAGTTTCTCTTTGAGCAGTGTTCAACATCATACATCCTTCACTTTAGGTGCACAGTTCAACTCGGATGAGCAGGATACAGATTATAGAGGCAAACTGCTGAGTTACTAGAAAACATGTCTGGAAGTGAGAAGTGTTCATTTGAGTTTGAACACTTTTATAAACCCCTGTGACGGAGCAATGTGCAGGTTTGAAGATACAATCGGTTACGTTTTTCTTGCTTGGAGATATCAAAATGATAAAAATAACACATCCACCAAAAAAGAAATACAAGATGCCTATTTAAAACACCTCAAAGAGCCAAACAAACATGCAACAAATCAATCAAGATGACAGTAACATTACTATTAACAGATGACGGACCAAATAATAATAGATCCAAATAGACTGAATGCAGTGTGGGGGTGTCACACTGCAATGAATCCATTTCCTTCTGAAGACATATGCAAATATGTTATTTAGGTAACTTTGGGCACTGTGTTCCACAATGTGTTTCTGCATCATTAGGAAAAATGGCAACAATACAGAGGGAAATGGGGACCATACCATCGCATCATTGTGTAGAATCTGAATTCATTTCCTGAAAAAACCCGCAAAATCCATTGTTCACTGATTTTCTGAACAATGTCACTGGGAATTTATTTGTTCTTTTTCTTGTAATTCATGACAGGCTGCCAACAAGAGGAATTAAACGTGGGAGAAATGAAAAGCATTGTTTGCTCTTTCTTTGTGAATTTCTGATTTCCAGGAAAACTGCAGTTTGCATTGTTGACGAGACTGGAGTCTAGCTCTGCAGAATTTCTTTATAGTTCTGTAGCGATTATAGGGATTCAGGTTAGTCCTACTTTGCCAGTACACAATGTGTACATTGTATAATTTAGCTCTGGAGGGAGTTTCTAACGTTTAAAATAACCCCTATAATATTATCTTCACTTTCATTTGAAAACTGTAATGCAAAGCCTGTGATGCATACTGGAAGTTTGGCAGAAGTGGGCATATAGAAGGTTCTGGTCACATATGCTATAGAGTTGCATAATGGGATCTGTATGGGCCAGGGTGTTCAGTACTGTAGCTCAGGCTCTGGGCTGAAAGATGGAATAACTTAGCTTCTGCTGCTTTAATGTACACCATTTTTTTTAAAACCTCACTTATTTGAGTCCATACACTTTATGAAGTGCAATAATAAATTGAGGCAATACATCTTTAAAATTCAATATCTGTGTATTCTGTGACCTGTGATTCATCCCATCACTGCTTCATCAGTACACATTTGCAGCCTGAGGACAGGATGTGAAGTAAATGCAGACTAGTGCATCAATCATCCAGAATGGAATGGAATCAGAGAAGAAAAGCAGCGTGGAGTTTCAAAGACAGTTTCTTTTCTTAACGTCCCAACTCTAACTCTTTAGAAGAGCATGATTTCAGCTTTTGCTAAAAAGTCAGGGTTCCCCAGAGAGGGAGGCTGAGCCAAAGCTCAGTGGTGCACATTACAGTACATCCCTCTGAGGGGTCTCTCCCCTGGCACAATTTAATGTCCAACTTGGCTATTACAGCCGACTCGCTGTTTCCACAGATGTCCTGATGGCCTGGCACATGGGCATCCATGCACATGCACACACTCTCCCCTGGCACAGCACACTTTGTGAGGTGACAACATTTATATAAGCACAAGAAAAGACTAATGCATGAATTGGGAGATTTTGCATGTGTCCGTCAATATGGTAACATGTATGTTTTTCTGCATAGTAAGTTGACCTGTGTGTTTAATGGAGCAACTGCAGCCTCAGGCCAGAGCTACTGACTGATGTGTTTATTACACATAAACACAGCACAAGAGGAAGTCAGGCGGGGGAAGACCTGTCTTCTCTCTGTTAAGTGAGCAGCCCAAGACACCACCTAACTGCATGAGCCATAACAAATATTTAATGAGCTTCATCTTGAAGTGGACTCACAAGTCAGGTGTTGAAATCCTCTCCAGTAGTTATTTCAGTCAAACTGCAGAGTAATGTTGATCTCATACTGAGGCTGGTGAGTTACATAATAAAATAAAACATAGACATCTTAAAGAATAGGAACTGGAGATAACGGAAAAGGGCAGGCCAGATTTCATGGATGATGGGAGGAACAAAAGTGGATTTTCTGCACCATGCTCCTTCACTCAGGGGGTTACTAAAAGAGCCTCCATACCTTTGGCAACCACTGAGTCCAGATGGTGGGAATCTGGAGCATTGGGCGGGAGGAATGGAGTGATGAAGGGAGAGAGAAGGTAGGAGGGATGGATGATGAAAGGGAGGTGGGAGGAGGGAGGGGGCATGAGCAATAGCACGTAAAACTCCAGGCCTGTTGTGAAAAACAAATGACTGGAGGGGACTATCTGCTCCTGTCTCTCTGCTCTACCTGTTCCACCATGGAGGACTGATTTATGAAGCACACAGGGGGGGTTGTCCATCTTACACTCTCGGCAAGCTGAGGAAAAGGAGGAGGAGGGAAAGACGTTTGAAATGAGGAATACAAAAAACGGGGAAAAGCAAACCGGGACAAAGAGAGGAGAACAGAAAGAGATGAGATGGAAAAATGGAGGGTACGCTTAGATTCAGAAATACATTGAGAGAAACAGACAGCATCAAAGAAGAGAGGAACCTAAGTGGCAGAGGATCAGAGTGACAGATACTCCTCCTGTGACCCTGTAGCTCCTGTCTCTAATGGGAGGTCTGGGAGATTGAAACCTTGGCCTGCTGCGGTAACTCAACATGACCAAACTAATTCAGTCCTGTCATAACAACAGGACAAGGAGATGGACACATTCTGTTCCCGATGAAAAAAAGAACCATCTAAAATGAAAGGTGATGAAGGGCGTAAGTGTGTATTATCTGAAAGAACAGGTAAGAGACGGAGAAAAGAGCAGACGTGATTGACGTATCCCATTCAGATTGACTATCTTTGTTTCCTTTCTTTCACTCTTCTTTTAAAATTAATTGTCTATCACACACAGAGCCTGACAAGAACCGTTATATGTTTGAGGAAGCAATTTCAGCTGTCCAAAAAGTTTACGGTGAACATTCAAATTACCAGCTGGAGTGCATACTGAAGGAGTTTTTGAATTATGGTAATTGTATGATATGAAACTTTGAACAATTTGACGGCAACTTTGCAATCATGGCCTCTTATCTGTAACTAAGCACAGCAGGTGTGAAACTCGTGCATGGGGCTGTACGCAGAGCTAGGCTTTTAGGAGACATTTAAGGAGTTTTGAGTGTGGTGTGTTGAAAAAATTGACAAAACACAAGTGCAAGGAATGGATTTACCAGTTGTGGGCTCTAATATGAGGTGTGCGTATTAGCATACGGGCTAGCTAAGCTAACTTCCCACAGAAATAACTCAGTGTTACATTCAAGGCGAGGACATGTTACATAATACTTGTTGTAGGGTTAAAAGTTACTTGAACAAATTCACAATAGCACATCTGCTGTGCAAAAGCCTACTGCTACTATCAGAGTTTAAGCTAACAAGTGTGTCTTTACTTATTTTCTGCAGCATCCCCTTCCAAACTAATTATCGGAGACAGCGTTACTTTCACCAAAAACATTGGTTAGTCCTCATCCTAAAAGCTTTTTCTCTGTACCATTAAATATGAACAATCAAGCTATGTCTGGCTTTTCAAAGTAGGAAAGGTAAGAAGCCAAGCGGGTTACGTCAGTATGAAATTGTAGACCACAGAAGATCTGTTCTATATTTAAAAAAATGTCTAAGTAGATAATCAACTCATGAGGACACGCACCTCTAATTTCAGTATGTGAGAATGATAGCCTTTTTACAAGTTTCTTATTTAAAAAGCAGTAGAAAAAATGAATAGTCAACCAAAGACAGTGTTTTCAACTCATAGAGCTAATTTGAGCTCAATTAGCTAGCTAGCTGCAGCTGATACAATCTGCTATATTCAGGCGGAAAAGTCTTCAATAACCGACTAGAATTGAGAAGCAGCTTTTGTCTAAAATCAAGGGCTAATTGTTCAAGTAAGAAAATCTTCCACTTATATTATTATAAATAACATGTGTAGGGCCAGAAAGAAAGGTTAACAGGTTTAGCATCAGTATAAAGGTGTTTAGCAACTGGTCAATTGCTTAACAGTAAAAAAACGTCTATTTACCTGTAACCTGGAAGGTGCATTTTCCTGCTCCCGCCTCGTTTATGACGTTACACGTGTACTCCCCCCACCCGTCTCGATTCAGGCTGCGGATGGTGTACTCCGTTTCGTCTCTCTGGGCGTCGAAGGCTCCAGCGTGGAGCAGCCGGTTCGACAGGAGCCACTCGAATCGCAGCACGCGGGAGGGGTGGGCTCGCAGCACCCTGCAGGTCATCACCACCGGCCGGCCCAGGCCCTGACGCATCTCCATGTAAACTGGCTCCACCGTGGGAGGGTCTGCGTGGGAGACATGAGGGGTCATATGAGATCAGCTGACATTGTATAGAGACAAAGTTCTTCAAGGATGTTCCAGAGGAAATAGAGGAGAAAAGGCTTTTGTTAAAGAAAAAAAGGAGTGTGATCGAGACGGCCAGACAAGTCTCGAACCTCCGGAGAAATGTTTAGAGCGACAAATACCTGAAAGACAGAAAATACATGATAGTTAGGAATGATGATAAAAAAAACAAGATTATGCTTTGAAAAGTGTGTTCACAAATGGAAAAGACGTAAGGTGAATATAACTGTAAATAAAATACATGCTTTTTGTATTGCGACCAACAGATAATTAAAAATTGCACACACACACAGAAAGAAAGAGAAGTATTTACAAGGTCAGTCTAATATAGTTGTATGAATTAAAGTAGTGAGTTTGGGGAGGAAAAGGTGAGATTGAAGCGTATTGCAAGTACACTTGAAACAATAAGCACCGCAAAGTTAATACACATCAGCAGCAATAAATAAAGACGAGTGAAAACTATTGTAGGGAGAGCAGCAATGGGTGGAGGAAATGTAATTCTTCAGAAAAATCATTGTTTGGAAGGAAATCAGTCACGCTTCATGGGAAAATTGCTAACAGGATGATGAAGTGCACCTAAAGCGTTCGAAAATTGAAAATGAATAACTTATTTGAGTATCTGACAGGCTTCACCTCTTCCACCACACAGACAACCAGGTGCTGAATTATTTAGCCAGGCGTCTGAGAGTGGAAGAACGGGCTGAATATGACCTGGATTCAAGTTTATATTCCCGTTTCCATATTTTAGCTCATCTTAAATGTGCAATACATTATGTGCACGGTGACAAAATGTGTGTTTGTATAGACAAAAAGGGTTTAAGTGCTTGTGCATGCAAATGGTTATGAATAATTTCCCCATCTTAAGCATCTTTGCTCTTGACATGCTCAGACGGATGCTTGACAAAAGTCACGGCCGCTCTTGAAAAACAACGCTGAAGAGAAGAGACAGAATGACACAGAGAGACTTAATTGCCTGAAATTTGCATATTTCCTGACATAATAAAGGAGAGGAGGGTAGCTATAACCAGGGCTGGCAATGTTACTTTTTAGGATGTAATATGTTACAGATCACTGATTACCTGATTAAACTAATCTGCAACATAATCTTCTACATTATTCACACACAGTAATATAATATAATTACAGAGCCTTCCCAAATTGAAAGGAATGCAATAAAAAGGAACAGTTTATTCAAATTTACAGCATATAATTTGATAACACTATTAATGATATTTTCCACAACGTAATCATTCTTTCTTTAATGTTGAATATGCTACAGTACAATTTGACAAGCCAAATATTTTAAATAAATAAAATACAGTTTTTCAGTACTTTTTCACACCTATTAAAAGGTGTCCTATATTCAGGGGTGCACATAACTTTTTTGCCCTGGTTCTCAAAGGAGCACCTGGAGATGTTGCTTGGTGCTCATCCTTACAATTAAATAAACCGTAACTTTTGAGGGGGTCTTGACTTTATTTGCCAGACACACGGCACTGAACACACAGAGGTGCACACAGAACACACACACAGAGGTGAACACAGAACACACATGCAGTGGTGAACACAGAACACACATGCAGTGGTGAACACAAGACAACATTAGCACGAGCAGTAATCCTACAAGCTGTCATCACTACCCTCCTGACTGTTCTCCTCACTGTCTTCCTCTCTGTCAGACATGGTAGCTGATGATGTAGGCCTACTTCTTCCTCTCTGGTTGAGTCTGTGATCAGCTGCTTGCATCCACAAGTCAACAGCTGCTTTTGAGTCGAAAGTCTCTGTTGTCATCTTAGAAAAGTGGATGTAATCAAATAAGTATGTGAACATAACCAATAACCTACCATAGCCAATAACAAATGAATGTAACTTATTTTATTTGTGTTGTTCATTCATATCTTATTTTACCTTAACATTTATTTATGCATTTTTTTTTATCTCTCCAGTTTTAAAGGATATTTTTGGTTACTGTCCTATAGTATACATTGGAATGATTTAAAACCTGTTTATCCCAATAATTATAAAGGAGTGCCTTGAAAATATGTGTTTACATAAATTGTGACCAAACCGTTTGAACTTAGACTAAGAGTCCTTTACCTCACTGACTGGAGAGGACTCTCCCTCCACATTATTGTAGAAACATCTTCTTCTTATATCCGTTAGAGCAGCTAGCACGGCACCAGATTCTAATAACAACAGCGCCGGTACCGGTGCACCCTCCCTCTCTCCCTCGCTCACTCGCATTTTGGCTGTGAGCTGCGGGCACCAGATAAGCCAACATCCCCCATTTTCATCACTTACAGCGCCCATCGTACAGGGCAAATGAAACGTGTAACCGGGGTGAAAAGGGTGTTACATTTACTTAATTATGAATATTGTTACATCAAGGCCGAAAATTAGGATGAGCCCGAACGGTCAAAATGTTTTTTTCCCTCCCAGAACTGCCAGCGCAGCGCATGCGCACCTGCGCACCAGTTATGTGCAGCCCTGCCTATAATGCACATTTTCAGGTTGATATTTGTATTTTGTCCCTCCTACTAAAGGGGGGTCAAACTCAAATACACAGTGGTCCAAAATGAAAAAATTGGTACTAGTAGAGGGCCGGACCGGTTCAATGTTTATTGAAAAAAAACATATTGAAATGAACTTATTGAAATGAACTTATTGCACATATTAAACCTGGAACTAACAAAGCTTAAATTATTGCCGATAAAAACAACATTAAACATTAAATAATCAGTTTCATTCATTTCTCATGGTTCTATCTGCAGCTTTTCCGGAGTCATTTCTTATGATTACATCACAGGCCAACAACAGCTTCAAAAAAACAATTTCCCTCAAAGAAAAAACCAAACATGCCCTGTTGTCTCAAGAAAGAAAGTGCAGAAGGAAACATCCATTAAACTCAGTGTGCTGCTCTGTGATGCTAGTTCAAGCCAGATACTTGGCATCTCATCTTGGGTGCAAGTTCACCAATGTTTGGGGTCAGGCTCTGAGCTCAGGATTGAGTGAAGGTGTGCGTGCAATATACCAGTGGGCCAGATCTAATAGTAATTAGAAATTATCCTACGGGCCGAAATTAAATCTACCACGGGCCTTGAGTTTGACATATGTGCTCTACTGTGACATGTTTCCATGCTTTAATGTTCAAAAAGCTCTTTATTGTTCTCATACTGCCTGTGCTGCAGCACCTCTTTTCACCCTCTGTCTGAAACCAGAGCCCAGTCTGCTCTGATTGGTTAGCTGGCCGGCTCTGTCGTGATTGGTTAACCGTTTAGAGGTGTCCCGCCCCTTAGCAAATCACACAGAATGTGTTAGATGATAGACAATAGAAGGGCGACTGTTACATAGTGATGTCATTATGTTACGGAAGTAAACAGAGGAGTCCAATGGAGGTGTTTCATGCAGGGGGGGGGCTCCCTCTGGAGACACAACACACTACGGGAAAGGGAAAATTCCTAAAAAGCATAATAGAGCCCCTTTATCTAACTTTCATTTCTGTTTTTCCGTTTATTACCTCAGCATAGAGCCGAGCAGGTTATAGAGGCTAGTGAGGTGCCCTGGGAAACGTAGGCTGTAACACACCATGCCGTTTGCAAAAGTGTGATTTCACTTTCTTGCTTTGGATGCTAATTATCACAAAAAAACACAAACAAAAACCCAGAAATCAGGAGCTACAATGATTAATGGCACGCAGGATGAAAGAAAAAAGTAAACAAAATATTCCAAGAGGTTGGACTGAAAAAAGAAAAAGTTTGCCTCCCTCTCCTGCTGCTGTTCACAAGGTGGAGAGTAAAGCAGCTTTCATCTCAGGTAAATGAAACGGCAATCAGTTCCTCCTTCAAATGAGCCTTGCCTGGGCTTTTACCCGCATCCGATTTCCTTTTTCTGACTCCAAGAGCTAACTGAGTGGCACTACACCAAATTGCAGTAAGTGCATTTCCATTGACACAAAAAGACAAATGAAGACAAGGATTGGGTCTGCTGAAAATTGAAAAGAAGAAGAAAAATGTTCTTACAGTATAACCAAAACATCTTTTTAAACATGGGCATATGCCTCATATCCCCTCTGTGCATCTCCTGTGAAACAGCTGACCAGCGAACATGAGGAGAAAGGAGCGAAAAGGTCCTGCGTGATATTCCCTGAGCAGCGCTCGGCATGTTTAGTGTAGCAGCGAGGGCGAGGAGTTGCTGTAAGTCACCGGCTGAGGGAAAACCCAGTGCACTCGCTGAGATGTAATCCATCATCAGTCACTGGTGGATACTTTGACAGTAATGTGGAGAAAAACAACATTTAAGGAGCACGGAGGGCTTCTCCCCAAGGTCCAAACAGGCCGCCACAGGGAGGAGGACAGAACAAAGACCCGGTTATACATGGGGGAAATATGCATGTGTGTTTCTGTGTGGCAGGCAAAGGGGGATTTTTGTGTGCATGCGTGCACCTGCATTACTGAAATACTGCTTGACTGCTTTTCAATAAACTTCAACTTCAGTCAGAATGGGTTTCATTTTTCCAAGCGCTTCAGGGGAGTGCATCAAGAAAAGGACAGGGAACACCTTTAGGCAAGCCTGCAAGAGTAAATTGTACTGTAGTGTGTGTGTGTGTGTGTGTGTGTGTGTGTGTGTGTGTGTGTGTGTGTGTGTGTGTGTGTGTGTGTGTGAAGTGTGTATGTGCAACTGCATTCACTCTTAGATGTTCTTTTGTTGTTTTTCTTTCATCCTGTTTTCGTCAAATAAAAAAAAGAGGGCTATGGCTTGACTGAGCTCACATATAAACCATTATTGAATATACTGTATATGCTGCCAAAAAAATATTTTGGGACTAGTTTGTTACGTTCAAAAAACTGCTTCACACCCACTGTCGGAAATACATTTGCCTCACAAATTATTGGATTATGCTGATGTTATTTACCAAAATGCATCCAAAACTGACCTCCAACCC